GGTTGCCATGGGCTACCGTGTGTAGCCAGCAGCCAGCGTGAGCGGCCAGCAGCCGCAGTGAGCGGCCGTCCAGAAGCCGGCGACTGAACTGCCTCACCCGGGAAGAGAGCAATGATGGTGTCAACTTGGGCCAGTGAAGCAACATCCTGCACAACTAGACTGAAGAACAAAATGACAGCAACTTGTCTGTCCCCCTTCCCCCAATTCCCCAGCAGTGTTCCCATCCCCCCAATTCACCAATAAAAAAAAAAAAATTTTTTTAAAAATAATAATAATAATTTGGACATCAAAGAAGATTTACAGTATGCAAATAAGCACAGGAAAAATATCTGATATCATTAGTTATTATTAAAATGCAAATTAAAACCACAAACAGTTTCTAACAATGGAGTATAAAAAGGGGAACATGTTAACATCACAGTGGAGAAACCTAGCCGACACCATTTTAACCAAGTAATCAAGCGTGATATTGTGATTTATAATAATAATATTTCCTGGAACAGAACTCCTAAAATCTTTGGAATTTCCTAAATTGTGAAAGCAATAAATGCCTTTTGTTATGTTAATGAAGTAACGTAAAGCCCCTAGGAAACCTAAGGTGGGGGCTGGTTGCCTGGGGAACCAACCTCAATTAGAAGGTTAGATCTTTTAGTCCCTCCCCCTAACATCTCAGGAGAGGAGAAGGGTGGAGATTGAATCAAGGGCCAATGGCCAAGGACTGCATCAATTGTGTCTCCATAATGAAGCCTCCATAAAAACCCAAAAGAAGGGGGCTCGGAGAACTTCTGGGTTGGTGAACCAAAATGCATCCGTGTGCTGGGCCCAAACTCCACAAGGACAGACGCTTCTTTGTTTGGGGCCTGACCCTATATATCTCTTCATCTGGCTAGTGATATTCATATCCTTTAATATCCTTTGTAATAAACCAGTAATCTAGTAAGTAAACAGGTTTCCTGAGTTCCAAGAGCTGCTCTAGCAAATAATCGAACCTGGGGAGGGGGTCATGGAACCTCTGGTTTATAGCCAGTTGGTCAGAATCCCAGATAACAGTGTGGACTTGGGGATTGGCATCTGAAGTGGGGCAGTCTTGTAGGGCTGAGCCCTTAACCTGTGGAATCTGACACTGTCTCCAGGTAGATAGTGTCAGAATTTAGTTAAATTTGTGGGACACCCAGTCAGTGTCCATGGAGAACTGAGTTAGCTGCTTGGTGGTATGGAAAAAAACACATACATAGGAACTGGTGTCAGAATTGGATCAAAGTAACATCACCAGGGACAAACCATGGTGTCATATGCCCCCTGATAGGAGGCAAAGAGGAGGGCACTTGACCACTGTGGTCTTCCCAAATTTCTGTAACCCCAATCTAATCATGAGAAAAACATCTGACAAATTCAAATTGAAGGACATTCTATAAAACACTTGACCAGTACTCTTCAAAAGTGTCAAAGTCACGAAAAACAAGGGAAGACTGAGAAACCGTCACACGATTGGAAAAGAAAAGATGACTAAATGCACTGTAGGATGTTAATGGGAAACAGACAGAGGTAATGGCGTGTGGCCCAGACCACAGCCTCCTGAGATGAATACCTGTGGGGAGGGCCGTGAACAAGGGATTGAAAGGAAGACAGGTAGATTGTTTGCAACGTTGGCCGCAGCTATTTCTCCCCGCCTTGGAAGCACCCTAAGGGACAGTCCTGTGCTACCTTTCAAAGGGGAATCCAATATTTTCCATCCCCTGTTTCTAGGCTGGCCCTGTGATGGGCTTTGAGCAATAAGCTATAGAGGACATAGCATGTAACTTTCCGGCCTTGGCCTCAAGAGACCATGCATTCATGCATCATGGAAAGAAATGCCCAATTTTCAAGCAGAAGTTAGTGAAACTAGTATGTCCTTTTTTTTCCCATCTATGTCCCTGGATCCCTGAATTCTAAGGACCCAGTTGGAGAACCCCTGGCTGACAGCATTTGGCCCAGAAATGTTTGCATTTTCTTAAGGACCACTGTGCAGGTATTCCAGGCACTCTGACAGGCTGGGCCCTCCTCACTCAAACCACAGCACACACCAGTGAGCAGCAAGGAGTTGCCAGGCCCCCTAATGTGCCAGGTACTGTGTCAGGTACTTTACACACAGCACTGCACTTACTTCTCCTACTAGTATCCCCATTTCCAAAGGGGAAAAGTGAGGCTCAGGGTGGTAAAGTAACTTAACTAAGGTCCCAGAGTCTGGTGAAAGATGCTTTCCTCCTATCCCACCACCCAGAGCACAGGGGACGCAGGGCCCATTGGGAGAGGGGAGGAGGCCCTCTCATTTAATCTTTCTAACCACCCTCTGAAGGTGTTATTTTGATCCTTCTTATGTAAATAAGGAGGCTAGTCAAAGGGCTGGGGACTGTCCTAACATCCAGCCTGGTAAAGGGTGGGGGATCAGAAGAAAGAGGTGTTCAGTGTTGATGGAAGAGGCGCCCCAGGTCCTTCTCCCAGCCCCAGTGAGAGCAGCTTCACTGAGCTGAGCTCAACCGGGGTTTCCAGAGGGTTCTCAGAGGGCAAGCTGGGGCAGGCAGGGGCATGTGGGGGACACGAGTGGGCAGTGATGGGGACAGACCGGTACAGCTGAGGGCGGGGAAGAGAGGGGGCAGGGGTAGTGGGGGCAAGGGGGCTGCCAGCGAGGTCTTACCTTGTTCTCACAGTGGATCTTGGCTCCAGAGTTAACCAGAATCTGAAGAATCCGTAAGTGGCCGAACCAGGCAGACAGGAGCAGCGCGTTCATCCCAAACTAGGGGAGAGGACACAGGCGAGGAGGTGAGGAGAATGCGAGGAGGCGTGGCTGTGCCACCTGGGCCCATGTCTGTATTGTAAAATCATGCAATCATAAGGGACCATAAAGGCTGCCCAGGCCAGGGAGCTCCAAGCTTTAGGAATTTAAAGTCCAGGAAATTTTTTAAAATAGAGGCTGACGGACTATTATTGTAAGCTTTGGGGAGGAGGAGTGCAAAATAAAACAGCTGCCATGTACTCTCATCATTATTTCATAAAGAGGGACCATTTTAACACAAACAATTTGGAAGGAGCCAGTCTCAGAATGTACTCTTTCCAAATATGGCTTCCCGAAAAATACACTACATTGTTCTTATTTTCTGATTTTCTGTGACTGGTGAAGACCTCCTGGACTGGCGTTTGAGAATCAATTGTTTGAATCTCTGAAAGAACATGGTCCAGGCTAATGGCTTAAGTCTGCACACGTGCAAGGACGGCTCCTCGCCACGCACGAGACATCCACTGCACTGTCACACTGCTCACCACGAGAAAGTCCCTCCCTGCTCTGTACTGAGATCTGCATCCCTGTACTTTCCATCCCAGAGGCCCCTGGGAGCAACTGAGAATATGTCTGGGCCTTCTTCCGATGATGGCCTAGCACCTGTTTGCAGGATGCTCTTCCTCAACATCTGCGAAGTGCTCAAGGTCCCCAGAGTCTCTTCACTGACCTCAGTCCTCGTGGGATTCTGCATCTGAGGGCAGCCCTCACCCCCATCTCCCCTTCTCTGTAAAGAGCACCCCCAGGCCTCCAAACTCACCTCCCAAGATACATCGACAGCTAGCCATCCACCCCACCCCGGTGATGGTTTTTGCTGTGTCTCCTTGGCTGGTGTTCGGGTCTTATAAACACCCGACTTATAGACACATTTTGAGGGTGCCCCAAACTGAGGGAGGACAGAACAGCCTCTAGGCCAAAGATGGTGTTGGTCCCCACGAACACATTTTCCCACAAAAACAGGGTCATGTGTGACTCTAGGTCTCCTAGCAAGGCCAAAGGCCTATCATACGTAGAATGAGCCCACAGCGTGGCCTTGTTCTGATGGGCAAAAAAATCTCCCTTCAAGCATAAGGAGCAGGCCTGTAGTGGGCAAATGTTCCCTAGTGCTGCTGGGAGCAAAAATGCAGAGCCCGCCTCAAGAGCTAAGGGGTCAGGGTTCCCCTAATCTGCCCTCACCCCAGCATGCTCCAAGCTCCCTAGGGCCTAAGGCAGGGGCCAGAGGACAGGGCTGGCCAGCTTTTAATCTTCAAGCAGGCTCAATTTCACAGCCTGGACCTCTGGTGGAGGGGAGGTGCCCCATCCCAGCACCTGCACGGAACATCCTGGTCACAGCTGCCTCCTCACTGGCTCCATGAGGAGCCTTTGTGAGGGGTGACAGGAAAAGGGGTCTTAGTAGCTGGCACCAGAATTCCTCTTAGGGACTATGTTTGGGTAAAAGCTTTGACAAGTGGTTGGAATGAAAGGTGAAGCCCAGATGGAACTGATGGATCCGCAGGCACCTGAGCATCCAAAGAAAGTTTCGCAGCTCTGCTTTAGAAACAGGCACAAATTTGGAGGCAGGCAGGGAGAGGGAGGGGGACAAGGACAGCATTGAAAGGGGACGTGGGGGTAGAAGCTGTGCCCAACACAAGGAAAGTGCCAAGAGACTTTAAAAAACAGGAATGTCAAAGATAGAACTTTAGAATTTTTACATTGTTTTCGTGTGTGATGTAAATACCCTCCATCTCTTATTTTGGACAGCCTGTCCCACACCCAAAACCTGGTGTATGAGGTTTCTATGGAAATCAGAGAAAAGGACTGAGATCCATGTTAGGGGTGATGCCAGGTTGGAGACAAAGGGTTATTTGCAAAAATTTAAGTGGGTGGCAAAATTTGAGCAGCAGCTGAAAGTAAGAGCTAGTAGTGACCACAAGAGTTTCTTCCTGAAATCTCACGGAAAGTGCTGGACTCGCCACAGTTCCTCAGATGGAGATTGGAGTTGGTCTCAGCTAGAGCCAAAGAGGCAAGGAGACCCAACACTGACTCAGAGCTCAGCCCCTGGTAGAATATCAGTAACTGTGGGCTGGCTGAGTGAGGAAGGAAATGAATAAGCACAGGGCAGAGTGAAGCAGGGAGAAGCCCACACGAGCTTGGGAATTAAAAAGGTCAAGGCTCGGGCGGCCGAGTGGCGCATTGGTTAAGAGCTGGCTTGGGACGCCAGAGGGCCCCGGTTCGGATCCCACATATGAGGGCCAGTGACACTGATCTCTGCAGCTAAAATGGTGAATGGCAGCTCGACCTGGGGCTGGGCTGCTGTGGGTTGCCGGTGCCGGCATAGGCTGCAGTCCCCTGCTGCCATGGGCTGTCATAAGCTACCGTGTGTGTAGCTGCCAGCCAGTGTGAGCGGCCAGCAGCCACAGTGAGCGGCCGTCTAGAAGCCGGCGACTGATCTGCCTCGCCCGGGAAGAGTGTAATGATGGTGCCAACTTGGGCCAGTGAAGCAACATCCTCCGCAACTAGACTGAAGAACAAAAGAACAGCAACTTGTCTGTTCCCCTTCCCCCGATACCCCAGCGCTGTTCCCCTCCCCCAATAAAATCTTTTTTAAAAAAAAGGTCAAGTCTCAGGGCTGTGGGGAGGAGAATCATGGAAGCCACAGCCTCCTGCCAGTAGGAACCCCAGGGATACCGCACAGTCCTAGTTCCGGAAACTGCCCAGGACAGAGCCCTGTGGCATATATATCACCAGAGATCTTCCCCTTGCAAGAGGATTTTTCTCCAGTGTCTCCCTTACCCCTGTTACTAAAGTAGGCATGCTCACCAGCCTTCTTATTTTTCAAAATATATTCATTGTTATTTGCAAAGAAAACAGGTTTATAAAAGCACTCTCTCTTACTATTCTCCCTCACATCTTCTTTTCTCAGTCCCTCAAGGAAGAAATCTCAAAGCACATTGGTGATAATGGTGGTCTTTGTGGGCAAAGGGCTGACGAAAGAGGTTCCATTGTTTTATTGGGAAACTCAGACATAGGATCCCAGACAGTCTCCTCCCAAAGCCACTAACTGAGGCCTAAGCAGGTGCAGGGAGGAGTGAGGAGGTACGTATTGCTGCCCTACCCTTAGCCCCAGCTTGTAATCAAGACCTCCAGGGATGGGGCACGGGAGCAGAGAGAAGTCAGGACAAAGAAAAGTATTTCCATGGAAGCTAAATCTCTACCAGGAAGTTTACAATTTTTAAAAAATTTAAATTTAGACTCTTAAATGTATCCCTGTCAAATACCATTGTCAGATTCAGCCCTTTTCCCAAACATGTACAGCTAATTTTGTAGATCCTGTTATTCTTCAGTGCTCTATCTCAGCAGTGTGCTGCCGGCCAATTTAAGTAAGACTGCTAGTCTTTATGCAAGTTCTTGGTTAAAGGGTTAGCCAGGACAGAGCCCTGTGGCATACCATGAGAGACCTACCTCTGATGACTTTTCTATTAAGGCTTTTATTAATCCACCCAATTATCTCTTCTACAGCCCATATTTCTCCTTATTCACATGGTATCATGAGGAACTGGAAAGGTTCTCTGAGAACGGAAGGGCCCTTGAAAATGGAGAGATGTTTATGACTGTGCAAGGGAAAAATGGAATCAGTGCAGTGTCACTGGCCCCTAAAAACTTTAACATCCTGCCCACCCTGCTCCTGTACATCTGTGGCAACCTCAGCAATGACAGCTGGCTCAGAGATCCATAATCAGCTCCAGTGCCCTTCCCCCCACCCTGAGACAGACAGACAGACAGACAGACAGACAGACATGCACACATAACCGTGCCTCCATAAGGGTCTCATACCACATCCTCATCGTCCACAGCAGCCCCGTGCTCCAGGAGCAGCCGCACAGCCTGCTCGTGCCCTGCACCTGCAGCCCAGTGCAGGGCCACCCTGCCCACCTGCCGGGAGTGAGAGGAAACCTGTGAGGCACCGGCTGGCTGCCTGGCCCACCACCTGGCCAGGAAGCTGGTCTGCAGAATGGAAGGACCTTTGCTGGCTCTGGTGACCCACTCTGGCCCCCCTCCTTCATATGGCAGCAGCTGAAACAAATGCAGTAAAACACAAGGACTAGATCCATCTGTCCCCCACTTAAAACTCTTTACAGCCCCCCCACTGCTCTTGGGACAAACTCCTAACTCTGGGACCTGGGAGGCCCTGCATGACCTGGCCCTGTTCACCAGTTCTCAGAAACACCAGCTTCTCCCCTCTAAGTCTGTTCCTGCTGCTCCCTCTGCTGGGCAGCCACCTGTGGCCTGTGATTATTCTCCAAGTCCCCAAGAGTCCCTGAGGGCCTAGGTTCTGTCCCCTCCTTCCCTCAGAACAGGGCTGATGGGTCCTGACCCCACACCTCATTCTCAAACCACCCTTTATCATGGTCTCTGGCCCTAGCACATCTAAGCAGGCTTGGGGGAAGCCAGGGTCCCTCCGTAGTCTTCTGCTTGAGAGGGGACAATGAAAGGAAACACTAATTTTCCATATGATCTCTCTGGGGACTAGCTGTTGTTCCTTCTTCAAGGCTTCTGCACATGCTGTAGCCTTTGCCTGGAGCACTGCCATTCTTCACTGACTCCTGCAAAAACACCACTTCCTTGTGAAGCCTTCCCTGACCCCTACAGATGAGGCGGGTCCCCTCCTATCCTCACCTCCTCTCAACTTATCACAGTGGGAATGAATTGTTTAATATACAAGATCTGACAATTAAGTTCAAGAAATTGTTGCAACAATGTTGCTAACCTTTTTTTTTATATATCAGAGGGATTATTCATTATGAATTTGTACCAACTGGACAAACAGTTAACTAAGTTTACTATTTGGAAGTGCTGAAAAGGCTGCATGAAAAAGATGAAAACGACCTGAACTTTTCACCAATTCATGGCTCTTGCATCATGACAATGCACCAGTTCACACGGCATTGTCTGTGAGGGAGTTTTTAGCCAGTAAACAAATAACTGTATTGGAACACCCTCCCCACTCACCTGATCTGGCCCCCAATGACTTCTTTCTTTTCCCGAAGATGAAGGAAATATTGAAAGGAAGGCATTTTGATGACATTCAGGACATCAAGGGTAATACGACGATAGCTCTGATGGCCATTCCAGAAAGAGTTCCAAAATAGTATTGAAGGGTGAACTAGGTGCTGGCGTTGGCGCATAATTTCCCAAGGGGAGTACTTCACCGGTGACTGTAGTGATAGTCAGCAATGAGGTGTGTAGCACTTTTTCTAGCATGAGTTTGTGAACTTAATTGTCTGACCTCATAATACTCTGTTTAATGTCTGTCCTCCCTCACCAGACTGTCGGCTCCAAGAGGGCAGGAATCATGACTGCCATGGGATCTGCTATGTCCCTAACACCTAGCCCTTAATACTTATTGATTGAATGAATCAATAAGTGAATGAATGAATGAATGAATGAGTCTGGTATTAGCATCCTATCATCCTGCAAGTCCATGCTTCCTTGCTAGTGCTTGTCCAGGACTGAGATCAAGGCTTCAGTCACCAATAACATGTTGTGTGAGCTAAGGTGACTTGCTGCCCCTCTGCACCTGCCTCAAACTATAAATAATACTAATACCTCCTGCCCTCCTCACCTCTCCAGGGGTGAGTGAGGACCACCAGGAAATAGGTAGATGAGTGTTCTGAAAACTGAAACACACCAGACACACCCCAGAATTTCTGTTACTATTACTGAGACCCAGGCAGGCTCTGAAGACCCAGGTCATACCCCTCTCATGTCACCCCACACAGAGCAGCCTCTGCTGCGATCAGGAATTCTACATCCATCCCTTTCAGCTTCCGCTGAACTGGCACCCAGGCTGGCATCTCCTGTAAGATGCTCCTGACAGCCAGAGCCCTAAGGTGGGGAGAGGCTACCCTGAGTAGCCTATCGTTCGTGTCCCACGCCGAAAGGAATGAGCCTTCCCTCTGGCCCCTTCCCCAGCAGGGATCTGGACCACCCCACCTGCAGCCTGATCAGTGGGGCTTGGTCAGCCTCCCTGCCTGGCTTTGAACACCTGAGAGCAGGTGGAGGCCCACAGCAGATTTACACACTCAGTGGACACAGGTGGCCTTCAGAGAACTTGCTGCCTCGTGCATGCTCAGATGCTTTTGGTCTGGTCTCTCTTGGTCTCAAAACCTTGGACTTCTGACCACAGGTACCACTCCATCTTTGTCCTTCCAGGTGTCTGCACCTATCTACCTGTCTGCCAGCCTCTGACTCCTGATCTCTCACCCACCTGCCCTCCTGACTATAACCTTTGTTCCCTGGATATGCCTTGCAGATACGTCACAGGGGTTAAGAGTATGAGCTCTGGAATTGCCCAAGCCTGGCTCAGAATCCTGACCCTGACCTGGGGCAAAGCCTCAGAGGTCTTGAGACAATGTAGACAACCTGAGCCTCCCCCAAGTCAAGACATGTAAATGCAGGCTCCATGAACTGTCCCTCCTGGGTGGAGGTGTCCCCACCGCACTGTCCCTATCCCGGCCTATTTGGAGGAGCCCATTTACACACGTGGTTTCTGGATCTGATGTTGACTCTCCTTTCAATCAGCTCCTTCATCCTCGTGGTGTTGTTCCGGTGGGCGGCCTCATGGAGCTGCCTCTCCAGAGGAAGCACTGGGGGGAGAAAAGTGATGTGGAGTGAGGGGAAGGGTCCTCCACACTGCATAACAAGGAGCAGTGAACAGTCTCTCCCTGGCCCCAAATGTTTCCTGGGTGGGGTTCTTCCAGAGGAATAGCAAGTGGAGGGCATGCCTCTTCTCCCTCTCAGGGTAGGCACTTCCCCAGACAGGCTGCTTTTCCTTCTAACTTACCACACATCCACATGGCCAAGCCTCGGGAAAAACCTGAAGATGGAAGAGCATGGGCAAAAACATCTGCAGAGCCAGGTGTATCCCTCCCCTCTCAGAGGTGCCCCATCATCCAGGTTTCATGTCTGCTCCCCAGAGCTGCTCGTAGGAAGGGAATGCAATTCATCCTCACTGGAGTTGACAACTACCTTTTTCACAGTGCTGTGTAGAAAGCAGCCAGGATCTACTGAACCACCTACTGCGTTCACCCCGCTTCTTTGTCCTCATTCCTCCGTCTCTTCTTTTCTCCTCTCCCAACTATGGGGCCCACTCTGATGTGCCTTCTCTGTGGTCTGTCTGTACTGCTGTCACCCTCATCAGTGCACTTTATCTCAGACAATTTCAAGACTAGAGAGAACCTCAGAGCTCCCCTGCCAGCTTCCTGCCACAGGCAGCAGTGGGCTCAGAGGGTTAGTGGCCAAGTCAGGAGGACTCAGGCCTGGTGACCCCCATACTGCCATCATCCTGACTGCTCTTGGCTTGTAAGGATATCTGGTTTCCTTGCCTGGAGCTCAAGTTCCTGGAGTCCTTGCCACATCTGACCTTCCCCTTTTTTTTTTAAAATATTTTATTGGGGAATTGGGGAAGGGGAACAGCGCTGGGGAATTGGGGGAAGGGGAACAGACAAGTTGCTGTCCTTTTGTTCTTCAGTCTAGTTGTGGAGGATGTTGCTTCGCTGGCCCAAGTTGGCACCATCATTGCGCTCTTCCCGGGTGAGGCAGATCAGTCGCCGGCTTCTAGACGGCCAATCACAGCGGCTGCTGGCTGCTCATGCTGGCTGCTGGCTACACACGGTAACCCATGGCAACCCACTGCAGCAGGGGCTGCAGCCTACGCCATCACCGGCGACTCACAGCAGCCCAGCTCCAGGTTGAGCTGTTGTTCAGCATCTTAGCTGTGGAGGGCAGTGTCACTGGCTCTCATATGTGGGATCCGAACCAGGGCCCTCTGGCATCCCAAGCCAGCTCTTAACCATTGCGCCACTCGGCCGGCCCCACACCTGACCTTCTCAATCCATCCAAAAACAGTTCACAGTAGGCCGAAGGCTGGGCACAGGAAGGAATCCACAAAACTCTTCTTCCATGAGTGACACTAACAATCCCCAGACTAATGGATGCCTGTCCCTCCTCCAGAAAGGCTTAGACACAAGGGACAAATATTTCCTGACCTTTTGCATGGTCATTACAGAGGAGGTAACCTTGTGGTGTTATTGCTGCCAAACCCACATCCTGCATATTTGGTTCAGTGTGAATGTCCAGACCCAGCCCCTCTGTGTATCCAGGGACATGTGGCCAGCGTCTGGGCAGGCAAGGCTAGGATACACTGAGGTGACAGGCAGGCCTGTCATCGGTTTGTTTTTCCTGATAAATTCCACATCACTTTCCAGATGTGGAAGAGGGTCTTGGGCTTTCTGGGACCTCACAGATACAACCTGTGGACCTCAGAGCTGCTGCCCCAGGGTAATCAGCTCTGGCTGAGCCACTTCCTGGCTGTATAAATTAGTTACTTAATTATCCTGTGACTCAGTTTCCTCATCGGTCAAATGGGGATGTAGGCTGCCCTGCAAGGTTATTGTAAAGATTAGATATAAGGTATGAAAAGCTTCTAGCATGGTATCTGGCAAATAATGCCATCATCATCATCATTATTATTCCTCCAAGACAAAAGATCAGAGAATAAATTCTGGTGGCCAAATACTAGGAAGTGGTGGGGCCTCCTTCATTCAGGGCCTTCTGAGCCAGTGAGGAAAGCACCTCCTCTACCCACCTCCCTGCATTGTTTTTCTCCACAGCACCTCTCACCATCATATTCACGTATTTATTAGGTTTATTGTCTGCTTCCCCCATTATAATATAAGCCTATGAGGAGAGAGATTTTGATCTGATTTGTTAACTATTGACTCCCCAAATTCAGGCCCTATCATATATTTATTGAATGAATGGGTGACAAACAAATCATTAAATCTCTTCAGGGGCCTTTGAACTATAAGATGCTGCCCTAATTAAATTAAGACTCATTAACCCCATGGAAAACCAAGACACAAGCTCACGTAAATGGCAGGAAAGAGGCCCCTAGGGGAAGGCGGCTTCCTGTCACTACTTCAGGGGGAGGGGAAAACACCATCTTCCAAGTGTGGCCTCCACTGGTAGCTCCATCCTTCCCCACCTCCCGAAGGGGTCTGCCTTTCCTGCAGGTGAGGAGAGGGCCCTTCTGGAAGAGCCCCTCTCAGATCTCAAACATCCCTAGGAAGCACTGTGTCCCAAGCTTTTCTTTCCTTAGTCCCTTAGCTAAAACCTACCAGGATCCAGGTTGGGGAAAAGAGCTGGCACTTTAGGTGTGAGCTTAGAGAAGCTGGGGTTCCAGTACCCACTCTGCCACTTTCTAGCAGAAGGATCCTGGGCTAGTCATGTTCCCCTTGTGGGTATCAGTTTCTTCAGTTGTGCAATTGGGGGAGGGTGAATAGAGTGACCTGAAAAGGTCCCTTCCAGCTCTGACTCCCTTTATCTTAGCAGAAACCTAGGGTGAGTGGTCTCGTTTGTGTTGGCAAACAGCTAAGAGTCCTAATGAGAGCAAGCAGACCCTAGCCTGCATAGTGCCAATGAAATCAAGTCCAGTCTCATCTCTTCCATCCACCTCAACGCAGGCATCCTCTTTCTGGCCACATCGAATACATCCTGCACTCTGGCGTCTGAGTCTTTGCCCAGGCTGGGTCCTCTGCCCAGAATTCCACACACACACACACACACACACACACACACACACACCCCAATGCTCCTTTGCTGCACAGTTTGTTAAGGGCCTGGTCACAGTGATCCTCCGCCCCAGGCAGAACCCTGTACCCTTTGACATAGTTAGCACCTTGACAGAGCCCCTCCACTCCACCCCTATCCCAGTGAGGACACTGGCACCATCCTTCTTTCCCCTCTCCCAGCCAAAGCCCCACAAGGGCAGCTGATGCCCACATGGATGCTGCGGCGTGGCTTGGAGGCCCCAGTACCAGGCACATTCCCTGAGCAAGGCCCTGAAGGGCTCTCATCCCACCTGCAGCACACCATAGCTCCTCTCCTCTGGGTTTCAGTTCCCCCATCTGGTATGGTCTCCACTCTCCATCCAACCCCAACATACCGGGGAGCTGGGGCCTTCAGCATTTCTACCACTTAATGGCTATGTGACCTTGGGCAACTTAATTAAACACCCTGAGCTTCAGATTTCTGCTCTGCAAAAATGGAGATAGCAATAGGTCCTACCTATAAAACCAATGGGGATAACAGAATGCCTGTCCTGGCTCGGCCTGACATACAAAGTAAGTACTCAATAAAGGAACGCATTATCATCTTATTTCTAGCTAAGGTCTCCTCCGCGGCAGCTCCCTGTTCTCCTGGCGGCTGGCGCCCCGGAGTCTCAGGAGCGGGGCCAAGGTCCCCTCGGCTCCGTGCGCGTTCCTTTCGGCGCCACAAAGAAGCCCAGGACGAAGGTGGCCACGCGGATTGAGCCAATCGTAGCCTTGGGCGCCCTCGCAGGGGTGCGCGGTATGCTCTCGGCCTCTGCCCGCCCCCGCCCCCCCCCCGGGCCCCGCGGCGCCGAGGACTCACGGCAGTCGGTCTCCCACGGCAGCTGCTCCTCCATACCGCGGCTCCGCAGCCCCTGCGGCCGCTGTGCTCGGGAGCCAGGCCGCCAGCACGCGTCCTCCCGGGCGGCGCCAGGGGAGCGGAGAGGACTGGGCGCGGAGTTGGGGCGGAGGAGCGTTGAGGCGCGCGCCGCAGCCGCTCCTCCAGACCCCTTGCCTCCGTCTGGTCCCTTGGGTATGACTCCGGCGCAGTTCTGCGGCCTCCCCCACCCCGCGCCCATCCCAGGCCAGGCCGCAGGTCCCTCCTGGGGGTCCGAGTCCGGTGGGTTGAGGCCACTCTGGGCTCCGCAAATCCCCCTGGGCGTGTCTCCCCTGGGATCTGTCCCAGCCTCTCGCGCCCCTAGGTGTGTGCAAAGCCGACCGCTGGCCCCGTCCTCGGGGCTCAGGAGCCTGTCCCCAGGCGCTGAAACCCAGACCCCAAGGACTTGGGCAGGCTCTTAAGAAACAGAAACCCCAGCAAGCCCGCAAGCGTATGAAGAGATGGTCAGATTTATTCATGATCAGAAAAATACAAGTGGAAATGACAATAAGATATCACACCAGTTAAACTGGCAGAAGTTAGAAAGCTGGACAATGCCGAATGTTGGTGGGGAATGAGGAACTGTCGCTGCGGGTGGGTGTAGCCTGGAGCAGCCATTCTGGAAAACAGCCTGGCAGTAATGAGGGAAATAATACTCAGCGAACTGTGACCCTAAAATCCAGCTCTTTTCTTCCTCCTCATCTGTAAAACAGATGGGTTCGAGGTAGGGTCTGTGAGTGGTCCTGCCCGGTGGTCCATGGTTGGATGCAGCACAGTGATCTTTCTCCAGGTCACTAAAGAGCAGCTGAGGGCTCCCCAGCGCTGGTGGCAGGTTCCTCCACAAGATGGCCCTCCTGGCTTTTCTTTGTTCTTACTTAATATCTTGAGACATTAGAGGGGTTTTGTTTTTATGTTTTTGTTTTTAACAAATAGAACTGTGACTTGTGTTTTGCAATCTACCTAGTTGCTGTTCCTCTTCTTTATTATTTGGGTGGCATTCTGTTAGAAAGGCGGAATCCCAGGCCCCAGCCCAGACCTGTTGAATCAGAACCTGCATGTCAACAACATCTCTGGTGATGTGCACATTAAATTATGAGAATCACTCTTCTAGGCCGTCCACACCACTTCATCCCAATCTATTTTTTTTTAGGCTTTTATTCATTATTTTCCTCAAGCATATCTAATCTCCTTGTACTGTCTTCATTTACAGAGTACCAACTGTGTACCAGCCACCGTGTCAGTTCTATTATACATCAGCATTATCTCATGCACTCTTCTCACACGCCCTGTGAAGTAAATGCTGTTATGAACCTCTTTTCCAGGGAGAAAACTGATAGTGAGACACAGATACTGAGTCACAAAGCCTGAGTGACCACAGGCCTGAGGTCCCACAGCCCTGTGTTCCCATAGCCAATGTCCTTGAGTCCTAAGCTACAGAGATGCTCTCATTGAGCAAGGCTGTGAAGCCTGCTTCTGTGCATCCCCTGCAGGGGAATGGGCACAAGCCAGTGTCAGGACACAGTCCATGATGGCCCTTGTCACCTCACAGAGGTGGGCAACTTCCTCTCAGAGTCCTCAGGGCCACTCACTGGGAGTCTAGGGGTCTCTGCTGGCATTCAATCCTCAGAGAAGCCCAAGTCTGCAGTGTATTCTGCCTGCTCTCCTCCTCCTGAAATGCTCTGGTTCTGAGCATCTCAAACTGGGGCACCCATATTCTGGGGTACACAGTGATGGAGGAGGGACACAGGAAACCACAGTCAGAACCTCAGTTTTACATGATGCCTGGGAGGGGTTGGAAAATTTGTACTTTACTAAAACAACTATGGTTTTATGAGTAAAAGTATAGGTGCAAAATCCAGTGGGCCAGTTTGGGCAAGGCCTCAAGAGCTCTGGTGGTATTTAGAAGGAGATATCTGGGGTTGCCAAGCCCTGGCTCCGCCCTTTTCCTGTCCCTGCCAGGATACAGAGCCCATTTTACCCTGCATCTCCAGCCCTAACACCACACACACACACACACACACACACACACACACACACACACACACACTTGCCGTCTCCATGTCATTGTTAAAGCAGACAGTATCCAGCCTCACATACTTGCTGCCTCCATCCCTTTGGCATCAGGGACTGTGTGGCTGAGAGACAAGAAGAATGTGTAATTCAGAGACCACCAGGGTTGACAGAGATGGACAGAGGGCCTGAGAGTACAGTGTTGGGGATTGGGGTGGGAGACAGGGGGTGGCCTCCGGACCTGTGTGAGTTCGTGTGATATAAGGAAGTGATTGACCTTAACACTGATTAGAAATAATGACAAAATATGAAAGTGAAAAAACTTGGTTTGACAGTGGGACAATGCCAATTATTGTCCTTTATGAGCTCTACATATCATTTTAGCCTATTAACTTTGTAACTTAGCAATGCATATCATTTAAAATGTCCTTTTTGTTTTTACAAATTGGTAGTCACAAAATAGTCAGGGGGATGTGAAATACAGTATGGGGGATATAATCAATAATGTAAAGATTATGTAGGGTGCCAGATGGGTACTGGACTTATTGGGGGATCACTTCATAGATTGTATAGATGCCTGACCACTGCGCTGTACACCTGACGCTGAAGTAGAATAATATTGAATTTCAACTATAATTAAATATATACTGGGGTGCCCAAAAAATGTATACACATGACTTGTATTCATCTTTTGCTATCAGTATATATTGAGTATTACAATTTTAATACAGTTTTTTCCTTTCTTAAAATGTGTATACATTTTTTTTGGCACCCTCTGTACGTAGTCACGGGATGTAAAATACAGCATAGGGAATATAGTCAATGGTATTGTAACAGCTATATATGGTGTCAGAGGGGTAGTAGACTTGGGGGGCAGTTATCACTTTGTGAGGGGTATAAATGTCTAATTATTATGTTGTTTTTTACACCTCAAACTAATATAAAAAATAAAATTTAAAAATAAACAAGGGCTAGCTGAGTGGCTCAGTTGGTTAAGAGCTAACTCAAGAGTGTGAGCTCTGAGCAATAGTGTCGCCGGTTCGATTCCTGGCAGAGCTGAGCTGCCGCTGAGCTGCCAACGGATGGCAGGATGGCTCAGCTTAAATACATAAATAAATAAATAAATAAATAAATAAATAAATAAATAAATTATTTTTAAATGTACTTTTTTATCTTCAGGGAGGAAAAAAGCAATAAAATTAAACTTGTGAAAAGTTCCTCCAGCAGCAGAATGAAATTTCCTCTATTCTGCTTCAGGGCCTTTGCACTTGCTATTTCCTTCTGCTTGGAACACCTCTTCCCCACCCTTTTTCCATGGCTGGCTCCTTGTCACTTTTCAAGACTGGCCTAAATGTCAATTTTCCAGTGTCCCTCATTGTCCCACTCACAGCAGGCTTTTCCTCCAAAGCACAGTCACACATGTAATTCTGTGACACACTACACTGGATCCACCTGTTTCCACTCAGAACCTATTGCTCTGTCATATCATGCTCAGAAGAAACACTAGTCTGGTTCCAAAGCCTTGAAGAATAATGCAAGTCATTATTTTTAAAGTGTTGAGGAATTCAGGAAAGTTCAGACACAGCAAAACTTCCTAAAAACCATGTTTCGATATCTCTTTTCCCAAAGGTCCCTTCATCCCAATAAGGCCGCCACCTGGCCCCCACCTGTCCACCCAAGTCTCCTCTGCCTCTCTTCTCCCTCCAACCAGACTCTCTCTCTCTCTCTCTCTCTCTCTCTCTCTCTCTCTCTCTCTCTCTCTCTTTTTCTGTCTCTCTCTCGCGCGCACACACACACACACACACACAATTTATTTATTGATATACTGGGTCATTTATTCTGTAGAGATTCCCACATTTTGCTGATGACGTTTCCCTAGTATCATTTAACATGTTCTTCTGCCTCCGGTGTTTCCTATAAATTGGTAAATTGATCAAAAGGCTTAGACAGGGCCCGCCGAGTGGCTCAGTTGGTTAAGAGCTCACTCATGAGTGCGAGCTCTGAGCAACAGCGGTTAGATGCCCGGCCCAAGCTGAACTGCCAACAGGTGGCAGGATGGCTCAGCTAAAAAATAATAATAATAAAAAAATTAAAAAGGCTTAGGGCCTGACAACTCCTCATGCCGGCGGCTGGTGGGTCGCGGCACGGTGGTGACTGAGCTGCGAGCCTGGCGGGCGTGCGCCGAGCCCTGGCCTGCCCTCCGCGTGTCCCCCGGGCTCTGCACCCCTGATGCTGCGTGGGTGCTGAGCCCGCCCCGGCCGAGACAATGGTGAAGTATTTCCTGGGCCAGAGCGTGCTACGGAGTTCCTGGGACCAAGTGTTCGCTGCCTTCTGGCAGCGGTACCCGAATCCCTATAGCAAACATGTATTGACGGGAGACATAGTGCACCGGGAGGTGACCCCTGACCAGAAGCGCCTGTCCCGGAGACTCCTGACCAAGACCAACAGGATGCCCCGCTGGGCCGAGCGACTGTTTCCTGCCAATGTTGCTCACTCGGTGTACATCCTGGAAGACTCTATTGTGGACCCTCAGAACCAGACCATGACCACCTTCACCTGGAACATCAACCACAGCCGGCGGATGGTGGTGGAGGAACGATGTGTTTACTGTGTGAACTCTGATAACAGCGGCTGGACCGAAATCCGCCAGGAAGCCTGGGTCTCTTCTAGTTTATTTGGTGTCTCCAGAGCCGTCCAGGAATTTGGTCTCGCCCGGTTCAAAAGCAATGTGACCAAGACGATGAAGGGTTTTGAATACATCTTGGCCAAGCTGCAAGGTGATGCCGCTTCCAAAACCCTTGTTGAGACAGCCAAGGAAGCCAAGAAGGCAAAGGAGACGGCACTGGCAGCTACAGAGAAGGCCAAGGACCTTGCCAGCAAGGCAGCCACTAAGAAGCAGCAGCAGCAGCGGCAGTTTGTGTAGCAAGCCCAGGTCCTGGTGTGGCAGCACGCCAGACTCCCCAGCTCTGATCCCCCGCCTTCCCCCTGTAGTTTATTATTAAACGTCAACTTCCAGCCCATTCTGCTCTCTAGGTGGTGGGTTGGGGGTGGTGTCTTGTTTGGCATCTACATGCACCGGACATGTTACCCACATCTGGGCCAGGTCTGCTTCTTCCTGCATCAGGCAGCTCAGGACCGAGGCACAGAGAGGTGCCATGACTTACCCAGCGTCACAGATAGCATGCAGGCAAAGTGATCATAAATGCTAGACTGTAAGCTCCATGAGGGCAGTTACCTTTGTTTTGTTCTCTGATATGTCCCAAGTATCTGGAACAATACTAGCACATAATAGGCACTCAATAAATACTTGTTGAATTCAGTGAAAAAAGAAAAAAAAAAGGCTTAGACAGAGTCTTGGAGAGGCTCCTTTCATAAAAGTGATGTGTGTATTTCCATCAGAAAGTACATAATGCCTTATCTCTCTTTGTCCAGAAAGGGAGGACGGGGGTTTGGAGAGCTTTCTGGTTAGTGAACACACAGAGATTCAAGGAAAGAGTAGCATTCCAGAGAAGGCATGGAAACTATGCACCATTTTCCCATAACTTGCCCTGTGCATCTCTTCCTTCTGGCTGTCCCTGCTGGGTTGGCCTTATTTCTAGGACATTTCAGCGGATAGACCTAGGAAATGTTTGTTCATTTGTTTTCTGATAAAATGCATCATGAGTTTATACTCATAAGTGAGTATCAACTCAGATTCAAGACAACAGGGTTTTATGTAACATTATCAAAATTACATTTGTATCTTTTTTCTCCCACGTTGGAAATCCCACTTCTCAGCGACTCCAACATAATTCTTCATTCACTTTACCCTGTAATATACTCTCAACAGTGTTGGAATAATAATTTCAACATAATAACCAACAACATGATTCCTGAAGACTGTTTAAGTATTTTGAAGTTGGTCTCTGTCATTTGGGTATATCCCATTAGGAGCATGTGGCCATATTACTGTTTTAAAGTCACTTGGAACAGTTTTTTTCCAACTCAACATGCATTGGGTTTTTTTGTTTTATTTTGCTTTTTAGTTATTTTTTAATGTTAATTTTGTTTTATAATTATGTAAAATTTTTACAAGTTTCAAAGTCAAGTCTCTGAAGGTTGTCATAGTCACTTGTCATAGACCAGCAGCTTCCTGCTTGTTCTCACTCTCCTTCACTCCAGATCCAGCTTTTATTTCCAACTGATGACCCAGCTGACCAACAGTGGCCCCAGACTGTCACAGATGCTCATGGCCAACCCAGAGGCATTCTCTGCACAGAGGAAATAGCTTCCCATAGGCCTCCTGCAGTTCCTCCTGTGGTCCCATTTAGGCAGCTGCACATACTTGGTTTCTCAGATTGACTGACTAGTGACTTGTCACTCTGATCCTCTAACTCGCCTCTGGTCACTGTCTTCCCCAGCTCCTTCCACAATTGTTCAAAGCAAATTATTACAATAAAGCTTCTATCCCACCACCTCAAGCAATTCTGCCCCCAACTGAATCCTGACTGACATAATAACCTCTTTTGTTGTTGCTTACCCTTATATCATTTAGTGCAATCATACGGGGTCTGACAATTAAGTTCATGAACACATCCTAGAAAAAGTGCTACATACCTCATTGCTGACTATCACTATGGTCACCTTCTAAGTACTTCACTTGGGAAGCTATGCACTTGATGCCAGCACCTTAGTCCACCCTTCAAAGCAATGTTGAAACTCTTTCTGGAATGGCCATGAGAGCTGTCGTCATATTACCTTGATGACCTGAATGTCATCAAAATGTCTTCTTTTCAATATTTCCTTGATCTTCAGGTAAAGAAAGAAGTCATTAGGGGCCAGATCAGGTGAGTGGGGAGAGTGTTCAAATACAGTTATTTGTTTACTGGCTAAAAACTCCCTCACAGACAGTGTCATGTGAACTGGTGCATTGTCATGATATAAGAGGCATGAATTGTTGGCAAAAAGTTCAGGTTATCTAAATTTTTCGTGCAGCGTTTTCAGCACTTCCAAATAGTAAACTTGGTTAATTGCTTGTCTAGTTGGTACAAATTCATAATGAATAATCCCTCTGATATCAAAAAAGTTTATCAACATTGTTGCAATAAGTTCTCGAACTTAATTATCAGACCTTCATATATATATATATATATATATATATATATATAATATAATATAATATAATGTATATATTTTCTCCCTTTCCTATAGTAGCATACTGTACACATTTTTTCTTACCTTGCCTTTTTTGGATAACAGCTTTTTTGAGATATAAGTCACATACCATACAATTTACTCATTTAAGTGTATAATTCCATGGTTTTTAGTATTGTTCAGAGTTGTGTAATCACCACTAAATTTTCATCACCCAAAAAAAGAAACCCCATACACAGCCTCTCCTCACAGCCCCAGGCAACCACTAATCTACTTTCTGCCTCTAGCAGCTTTGCCTGCTAGACACCCACCTTGCTTTATTCACAGAGCAACCCACCCCCAGCATCTCTCCACAGTAGTAGGCTGTGCTCTACCTCGTTCCTTTGTGGCCTCAGAGTCCTTCATTGTGTGGCTTATTCACCCAGTTCTTCCCAGTGGACTTTTGCCCTGTTTCCAATCTTTTGCTATTACAATAGATTTGCAATGAGTAGCCTCCTCCATGTATCATTTGATATTGTTTACCAGTGCAACTATAGAATCTATTTTTAGAAGTGGATTTCTGGGTCAAAGAGTAAACGCACCCGTGATTTTGCTAGCTATTGCCAAATTCCCTCTACCCAGTCTGTACTATTTTGTACTCCCATCATCAATGTATGAGAGTGCTCATTTCCCCACAGTCTTCCCAAGAGAACATGCTGTCAAAGATGAATGTTTGCCAATCTGATAGGTAAGGAATGGTAACTCAGTGTAATTTTAATTCGCATTTCTATCATTACAAGCAAAGTTGTTTATCTTCTTCTATGTTTAAGAACCATTTTCTTTCTTTTTTTCCTGAGAACAATCTGTTCTTATCACTAGCTCATTTTCCTTTATGATTGTTGGCCTTTTTCTTAAGAGAATTTAAAAACAACTTTTATTTCTTGTTTTATAAATAGTGTTTGTCATTACAAAGAAAATTTAAAATACAAACAAGGGGAAAAATAGCCACAATTCATTTACCCAAAGATGCCACTGGAATCACTTGCTACGTATTATGCTAGTCCCTTTCTAACAAAATTAAAAAGGTACATACACACACAGTTGTGCATAGGTTTAATAGGATTTCAAATCCACTTGTTTGAGTTAAGTGAAGTTGTTTTCATTCACTTCTTTATGACAACGACGGGGGAAAAGTTACTTTGATATAAGTATGAAGTAAGTCGTGCCAGGATGTCATCATTCTATATCTCTTGTCATTGATAAGCAGCCAGCAGCCCAGCAGGTGAGGGGCCACCCTGAGGACTTATTGATGACAGTGTAGAAGCAACTATGGCAAGGGGACATTTACACTGTAAATGCTGACAGTTTGGGAGGACTATTTGAGAGTTTCATCTTGGGCGAGGCTGCTCTTACTAGCCTAAAAACTCTCCGAAGACCTTTGGGGCATCAGCTCTGGCCAGGCTCTTCTTATAGGCGGTAGTGATAAACCGCCCAGTGAAAAAGATCAGCCCGCTTACCAACACAGGCGTCTTGGTTCCCTAGCAATGTGTTCTAGCAACAAAAGACTTTTAACTTTTGCGCTGACAGCTGGAAATCAATTCATTGGTTGGTCTACCCAGTGCCTACTCATGTAAAAAAGTACACCTCATATTAAATTTGGACTTTATTCCTTCACCTCCCCTTGCCTGGAAGAACATTGTGATTAATTTGTCATTTGTTTGCAGTATGTTATTTCTGCATTTGGCTTATTGGGAGAGATTATCCTGTATGCTATTGGCTTATGAAATTATTATAATTCCAACAGCGAACTGGTGTTAAATAAGTTGCTGGCAAAGACAACTCAGTCCCTGAGTATCACTTTGCCTGCCCCTCAACACACACACACACACACACACACACACACACACACACACACACACGTGCATACAGTGGTAAAATATTTGTTCATCTTGTGCCAGCACTTGGGAACCAGTGGCTGCACTGGTCTCCTCTCTGCCTAAGGGTCAGCTCTGTGAGGGGAAAGAGGCCTGTTGTGCCTGGGGGAGATTGGGGCGCATGGGGGGCAGAAGGTTCTGGCCAAGTGGAGTCAGGAGTGGCCAGTGGACAGCCCCTGGGGAGGTGCCTGTACTGAGTGGTCAGATTGTTAGTGGGAAGGAAATTTTACCCTGCAGAATTGCTCATCCAAAGGAGAGAGTGGAAGTGGGGAAAGCAGCAGGACTAAAACTGAGGCTCCTGTCCAGTTCTGAACTGCCCAGCTGTGTGACCCTGGGCAAGTTTCTCCATCTCTTCATAAGGAAACAGGCCTGAATGGTCGTTTTGGCCCCCTGCTCTTGTAAGCACTAGAGGGTGTGAATAGTCCACTAGAGGAAGAAAGCACTGATTAATTACCAAAAGGGGGGCAGGGCTGGAATATTTTTCAGGCCTCTGGGCACCCCCTAACTTATAAACCTTGGACGCCCACCCACCCTTCCCAGCACTTGCATACCCGTGTCTTCCTGAGTCCAGTCCTAGCTATGCCACTCTGAGCAAATCACTAAATCTCAGTTTCTTTCCTCAATTTCTTCATCTGTGGATGATGCTTTTGTATAGAGTCATTTCAAAATGCCTAGGGCAGTCCCGGCACATACGGGTGCCCTCATTATGGTGGTGATTATTGTCCTGCTCTCCACCTGTCACCTGAACTATCCCATTGAATCATCTTGACAACTCGGTGAGTAAATCGAAGCTCCATTTTACATTGGAGGCAAGTGAAGTTTAGAGAGGGAAATGACTCGCCCAGGGATACACTGAAAACAGGTGAGAGTTGAGACTGGAAGCCAGATGTGCCGCTCTTCCAAGTGAACTCAGTGGTCCCCAAGGTGCTACACGCCTTGCAGCGTTCCGGGTGGGGCCGCGCCTGCAGGCGGG